TACTTGCTGGGGTAACACTTGTGATGTTTCTAAGACACTCTACACTTATTTTAGCAACTCTTTAAGGAACATTGTCTGGTGAGCTATTCTCCAGGAGTGACTTTTTCTTCAAGATCCTCTGAGTGCCGTCATTCTGTGTCTCTGAGGCAACAAAGATTTGAACTTGTAAATGTTAGGCTTGAACTTGGAATTTTGTTGGATTTCTGTTTAATATTCCTTTCCCAGGGCAGGAGAGCCAAATCCGTCCTTTCTCGTGCCACAAGGTTAGCTTTTAGCAATCAGCCTGGAGGCTTCAGGTTTGTTTCCAGATCACTATGATTTAATTTAGTTAGACAACCAGGGAAATCAATATTAAGCAAAATAAACCTAGAACCAAATGTAATAATAATAATAATAATAATCCTTGCATTTGATATAGCGCTTTTCACATCGGGAGGACGTCCCAAAGCGCTTCACAGAACACACTGTAAAGTGAATTGACTGTATATTTGTGGGCGAACGCGGCAGCCAATTGCGCACAGCAATGTCCCACAAACAGTCGTAGATTGAAAATGACCAATTTACTATTGTTTTGGGTTTTGGAGGGATTATTATTAGGCGTGTGGAGTAAGGAAATTTGCCCAAGGTTTCGCCCTCTGCCTGGAATTGAACTCAGGTCTCTCGCTTGCAAAGCGAGTGCTCTAACCATTGAGCTACAGGACTCCACGGGATGTGTGGGATTAACATTGACAAATTCAAATTGGCACTAGAAGCCAGAGAAGAACAAGACATTTACCTGGAGAGGTTATAAAATCTGCTGTTATTTCTTAAAAGTATTCCAGAAAAAGTTCAGGCTTCAGGGAACACCACAAATTTTGTCCCGTAAATCTATATACCCACATACATGAAGGTAAATACAGACATTGAAAAACATACATCTGATTTCTAGAAACTAATCAGAGTAGACTTCCACAGCCAGAGTTCTATCATATGATTCATGTACTGTATTTGCTAGTTCATAACTGCTTGCAAAAGTACTCACTGACCAACTTTGTAACTCTCTAAAAGTGGCAGTGAAATTTTCTGAGACTAAAGAGTTTCTCAATCTGACTGTCCAGCCTTCCTCAGCATCAATGTATGTGATTGTACTCAAAAATGAAACCTTGTTCCAGTCAAGAGTTCAGATAGATCGCAATTTGCAATGGGACGATGCAGAAAGATAACATTTGCTCTCAGACAGAATTTGTTCTCATTAGGATTGCTCTTCAGTCAATGTTCAGTGTATTTTCTTGTTCTTTATGTTAAGCATAGTCCCAATATTTTTAAATGCTTTTAAACTCTTTTTTGTTACAACGTAGTTGTATTTGAATTGATTGAATAATATGATGGAATAACACAGACCCAGGCTATTTGTTCTGTTAAGTCAATGCTGGCAGTTTTCTCCAAAAAGGCCATCTAATTGTGTCCCACTTTCCTGCTTGCTCCCCAAATCTTTTAATGCTGCATTCCTCTTTTTCAAGCATTTACCTAATTCACTTTTAAAAGAATTTATGGATGCTGCTTCAATCATGTTTTATGTTTTCTAACCTATCCTCTCATGATTTCTGTGATTATCTTAAACGTGTACCCTGAATCGGACCAAATAGAGCAAACATTTAAATCCAAGAGCAAGTGTTTATAGGGATTCAATATGTGGAGGTTGTCATGGATGGGTTAAGGGCAATTGTAGCTTACTTGGTGATATAGTTATAGGTACAATTACTTTGAGACATCTCGATGACTTGATAATGCACTGTATCTAATGTAAAGATTATTATTTTTTATTATTATAACTGTTTGCCATTCATTCTATTGATTCATTCTATTCCAATTAATTTTGGGGGTGGGTGCACTGGTAGCATAGCAATGTAGAGACCTTAAAAAAAGGTGGTACAACAAAATCCGGATTTTATTTGGCATTTTGCTGGTGGTTTGCAGCTCTTTCATTGTAGAACATGAGTTACATGAAGTACCTCTGAAAACGTGCTTCGCTTTCGGATTTATAGCTGGGAGCTGATTAGCAAAGGTATCAGCTGTAGAGTAAGATGATTACAAGCTGAAGCTTATTTAAAGTTATTACCATAATTAGACTTAATGGAGAAAAAAAAACCTCTGTTGCCTTGACTAAGTGCTGAAATAAACGTGCTGTCATTAAATCAGGTTTAATAAGCAAACGGAAATCAGAGCAGGAAGAATCATGATAAACAAATTTGCCAGATATTTTCTAGCAAGTCCTTATGCATATAATAATAATAATAATTGATATAGCACCTGATCACATCATTGAGACATCTAAAGTGCTTCAAAAAATACACTGTAAAGTGGACTGACTGTATATTTTGTGGGTGAAGTTGATTTAACAGCCGTCCTTCGGATGAAAGTTTCTCCTGGTGTCCTGGCCAACAAATCCCCCAAATAAAATTGGTCATTCACTCCATGGCTGTTTGCGGGACATTACTGTGTGCAATTGGCTGCTATGTTTCACTCACAAAATAAACAGTCAATCCACTTTATGGGATATTCTGTGAAGAGCTTTGAGATGTCTTGACGATGTGATAAAATGGTATGTCAAATGCAGGGATTATTATTATTATTAATTGTTTACTCTCTTTTGTCCTGATTGTTTTTTACCTATTCAGGAGCAATGTCTCTAATTTGGGTCATTCCAATCTCTATTGCTAAAGTTTCCAAAAGAAATTAAAATGCAGGCTTCCCACTGGCAACAATACAGAAAAACAAAGTTGTATTTTTATAGTACCTTATCGTAGAAACTTCTCAAAGCATTTCACCAATAATTACTGGCAAGTGTAGTGACTTTTTTTTGTAACATTTTGCACAAGTCAGGTACTACAAGCAACCATGAGATGAAACACAACCTGGAGGATTGTTGGCCCGGATAGTGGGAGAAATTCTTTGTTGAACAGTGTAACTAGATATTTAATGTCATTTGTACAGCCAGATAGGACCTTGGTTTAATGTCTTGATTGAAATATAACAATCCAGTGCTCCCCTAGCCTAAACTATGAGCTAAATTCCTGAGTTTGAATAATATCAGCTTTTGATGCAAAGTGATGTAACATAGTAATAATATCACCCACCAAAAATGACACTGAAAAATAACATCACAAAAATTTGGGAATCACAAGTACATACAGATAGAACAGTAAGCTGTAAGAAACCAAATAGTATCGTTAAAAAAACTAGATTGTACATGCAGCATTATTGATGTGGCTATCCCAAGTGATGCAACATAAGAAATAAGGAACTAGGGAAGATCAAGAAAAATATTGGTATATAAATTGAATGTGGACGGATGTGGCAGTATAAAACAAGCATTGTTTCTATAATCATTAATGTAACTGGGACTGTTAAGAAGTCTATTCAGAAATGACTTGACAAAATAGTTAAATCTCCTGCAAAAAGTAGCTACTTTACAAAGTTAAACATACTAAGAAAAGTACTATCCAATCATATGTAAGTGTTATTGGTCTGGCTTACACGTCACTGAAAACCATTCAGAAACTACCTTTGCGGAGTTATTAAAACTGTAATAACATTATAATAATAATCCTTGCATTTATTATAGCAACTTATCAAGTCCACAAGGTATCTCAATGCACTTAGTGGCAAATGTATTGACTATTTTTATTACATATATATATAACAGTATATCCTGCGAAGCGCTTTGAGATGTCTCGAATACGTGATAAGGCGCTACATCAAATGTAAGGATTAGTATTATTATCTTTTAAGTTAAGAGGGGAGGTGTTTTATTCTCTGGGCATAGAGACGATGGGCTAACTGGCCTCCTCCTGTGCTGTAAACGTTCTATGTTGTACGCTTGCCTCAATTTACAGTTCTTTTTAGTATTTTGCACATGTAGAGTCTATGCATGAAAAACCTTGCCAGGACACTACTCAAAATGTAGTTTAGAGACAGCATCAAGCAGCCATCCAATTGATTTTAACAGATTCATAACTGAAGAGATTGTATATCTACCAAATGTGAAGTCTGCAGTGTATCTCGTGGCTTGATTGGACTGCCATGTTGCAGTGTGGCAGTGAGCAGAAAGGCAGGTCAGGACGCCAAGGCTGCATATTTACACGTTTGATGCTTGCGTAGTTGGCGTCAATGACAGGACCAAGCATTGCTTTGCCTTGTCATATCAATTGGACACAGAGCTTTAACAAGTTCAATGTAGAGAGTCAGCTGTCATCTTTCATCAGAGAGAAAGAAGCTGGAAATGCTGCAATGTTATCTGTCCAAAATGAAAAATTGGATTTATTTTCACAGAGCTTTATTTACTTTTATTACCAGATAATTTTTTCATCTTGTGACATTCTATGCAGTTTTAACTATATTTGTAGCTTGAAACATTAAGAATTCATAATTATTGTGCAGCTTATATTTTATTCTATCAGCTTTTGACTTTGAATGATATAATTGTAGGTGATATAAAACAAATCCAGTAGAGGGTCTGAGTTTGAATTCCTTTCCCTCTGCTCATTCATCAGACCAGGCTGGTAGATGAGGCACTATTCAGGAGTGATGACTCTAAGGAATGGTCCAGTGAAGGTGAGGAACATGAGGGAAGAGATTGCCCCTTAGAATAAGCTAAAAGCACCAGTTCAATCCAGAAAAAGCCATTCCCATCAGAGAGGACATTGATGCAGGCCATGGTGAAATCCTCAACCCAGATAACATACAGATGAAGAGTAGACATTGGCAGAAAGGGAAATGTGATGGATATTGGTAGTTGGAGAGGAAATGCCATTGTCTTATCGTCTCACTTTTATGCGTCATCCAATCTTATTTATATGCACCCTTGTTATCACACAGAACTTAAATTTGTTGAAGGATATTTCCTCCTACAGTTTTGTGGAAAGGCAAGTAGCAGATAGGATTCTGCTACACCACGAGTTTCACAGTGCAGCAAATCTCGTTCTATTCTGACATGTATGTCTCTCTATCTTGTTTTACAGAGGCCGGGGGGAAGAAGCTGCGAAGTACCATCCAGCGTAGCACAGAAACCGGATTGGCGGTGGAAATGAGAAATAGGATGACGCGGCAGCCAAGTCGTGAGTCTACAGATGGGAGCATGAACAGCTACAGTTCGGAGGGAAAGTAAGTCCAGATAACAACCGTCATCATTGACGAAATGTGCTTTGATAGCAATGGCACAGCTCAGCAAAGATCTGTAGGTTCCATGCTCCACATCACTGAGTTCTCAATCTTTAAATTACCCCAAATATAAAAGAATGGTTAGGACAGGCCCCTGAAAGAGATAGTTATCACTCAATAGGGTGTAGCCAGAGCAATGTTTAATGTTGTAGTCTTATGGTAAAATATGTATGTTCGTTAGGCATGGAGGTATGATCACCTTAAAGATTTTTTTTTAGCAGTACTGTATTGTAAAATTCATCAGTGCTGGAATCCTGCACTAAATGTTTAGGGGGCATTGTTACAGATACTGAACGTGCTGGGGTTGAAGTCATATTTGGAAGGTATTCCATTGAGAATGTTTTTGTAAACTTAGGGAAATGTAGACGCAGAGAGATGGTTTGTAATTTCAGCTACATATGTGCAGTAAACACATTGCGTACACCCGAGACTGGCATTCGTTCACAATGTTGGTAACCCCTGGTATGCTTGTTGAAAATAATGATTTTCGAGTGCTTTTCCAATTTTCTCTGTTCTGCCTTAAAGGTGGTCATTCATACCACATTCAATATGTGTCTCATTCAATAACAACCCTCCGCCACTCGCCCAAATGGCCATTATTCCTGCCGAGGCTCACACAGTGAGTTTTCCCCAACCTTGCGGCAGATTGCCACACCCAGCAAAGCCTGGTCTGGTCCTCAACCTATTTCCAACCTATGCAGTTGCAAGCAGGCGTCACTGGAGAGACATAAGGAATGCCTGACTTATTTTTCCTCCTCAGCCGTGCAGTGTCCTCACTGCCTCCTGATTCAGATCTCAGCATAGATGTGAAAAGCAGTCTGAGGTATTTGTGCTCTGTATGGCCCTAGAGCATACAGTGTATAGTAGAAATTCCATCTGAGTCACCCTTCTACATCACTGCTCGAGTCCCTCTAGTCCGGTTTCCACCCTGCCCGTAGCACAGAGACAGCACTTGTGAAAGCCGCAAAGTCCTCTCTTTCTGTGACCAGGGCTTCCTCTGCCTCCTCGTCCTCCGGGACTGCTCCATTGCTTAACACAATCGATCATGCCATTCTGGAACACTGGTTAGGCCTCAGCTAGAGTACTGTGTTCAGTTCTGGGCCCCATACTTTAAGGAGGATGTCAAAGCATTGGAGAGGGTGCAAAGGAAGATTTACCTGGATGGTATCAGGAATGAGGGACTTCCGTTATTAGGAGAGGCTAGAGAAGCTAGGATTATTCTCCTTGGAGCAGAGAAGATTAAGAGGAGACTTAATAAAAGTTTTCAAAATTATGAGGGGATTTGATAGGGCGAACAAGGAGAAACTATTTACACTGGCAGGTGGGTCGGTAACCCGAGGGCACTGATTTAAAATGGTTGTTAAAAGAAACAGAGGGGAGATGAGGAAAAAAATGTTTACACACAAGTTGTTCGGATCTGGAATGCACTGCCTGTAAGGGTGGTAGAAGCCGATTTGATAACAACTTTTAAGAGAGAAGTAGATAATTATTTTGGGAGGACGAGTTTGCAGAGCTATGGGGAGAAAGCGGGAGAGTGGGATTGAATTGGATAGCTCTTTTCAAAGAGCCAGCACAGATAAGATGGGCCGAATGGGCTCCTTCTATGCTGTATAATTCTATGATTCTATGATTCTATCCTTCTCCCTCATCCACCTTCAGGGGAACCACATTTTCCTGGTTCGAATCCTACATGACAACCGTCATCACTTCATATCTGCAAATATTTTTTCTCTTGCCCCACCTGGTCACCTACAGGGTACCCCAAGACTCCATCCTTGGTCCCCTTCTTTTCTTCATTTACATGCTCCCTCTCAGTGATATCATCAGCACACAAGGGATCAATGTTCACATGTGTGTGCATTTCACACAAATATACTTTTCCAACTGCATCCCCGGCTCCACTAATGTTCTGTCCTCTTGTTTGTCAGAAACCAAGGCCAAGGTGAGCACCAACTTTCCACAGATGAATGTTGACAAGACAAAGGCCATACTCTTTGGCCACCGTCAATGTCTTCTCTCCTGCGGCTCTGAACTCCTAAACCTCCTGGGCCTATCCCTCAGACTCACTGAAGCTTTGCATGACCTAGGCATCAGTATCCCAACCCCCATCCGCTCCCCGACTAGGACAGCATTCCTCCACCTCTGCCACATTGCCTGCTTCTGACCGTACCTCACACCCGAAGCAACTGAAAGCATTATCCATGCATTTGTCTCCATTATTCCCCATTATTCCAATGGTCTCCCTAGAGCCACCTTTCTTAAAATCTAATTAATTCAAAACACCGCCACCCATATCCTCACCTGCACAAACTCCATACCTCCATCACCCCAATACTTGCCCAGTTTCTCTGGGTCCTTGTTGCAGAACAGATCCACTTCAAGATCTCACACTCAACTACATTCAGAACATTAAGAACATTAAGAACATTAAAAAAAGGCCAATGAAACTCAGACAAGTCCAGTGAGCTTCCCACTTGCCGCATTTAGACTCCCACAACAACAACAACAACAACAAGATTCCATTTATAGAGCGCCTTTCACGTTGGGAGGACGTCCCAGCACAAATGCTGAAGGTATCTCCTCCAGGTGGTGTCAGGAATAGGATCCGGCAAAATTCATGGGATTCAGTGGTGCTAATGAACACAAAGCTTTGTGTGCATCAGGAGTTTGATCACACTTCTTCTCAATATGTGGATACCTTATTGTTAAATTAAAATTATCAAAAGTTATTCTTGTTCACATGGTACAATACTTAAGCTATTGTATAAAATTTTGTATAAAAACTATTGTATGAAATCTTTTGCATAATTTCACATTACCTCCAAGATTATGCTGAATTTTCGTTTTCTTCCTCCTCTTTTGCTCACAGCCTCATCTTTCCTGGTGTTAGGCTGGCATCAGAAAGCCAGTTCAGTGATTTTCTAGATGGCCTTGGACCAGCCCAGCTTGTGGGACGTCAGACACTAGCAACACCACCTTTGGGTAAGCAGGACCGAGATTTATATTAGAAAGAATTGTGCTTGTCTGCTGTTATCACTCCCATCCATAAAAATCCCTCCCTGGACCCTTCTCTACTCCCTAACTACCCCTTCATCTCCAAGATCCTGGAACGAGTTGTTGCTTCTCAGCTTCGCTCCTTCCTCTCCCGCCACTCCCTTCACAAACCCCTCCAATCAGGTTTCCGTGCTGCCCACAGCGCAGAAACAGCCCTGGTCAAAGTGACAAATGACATTCGGTCCATCTGCGACCAGGGCTCCCTCTGCCTTCTCGTCCTCCTTGACTTCTCTGCTGCTTTCGACACCGTTGACCACTTTATCCTCATCCACCGCCTCTCCTCTTACCTCAGCCTCCACAGCGCTGTCCTTGACTGGTTCAGATCGTACCTCTCACACCACCTGCACTTCATCTCCTCAAACAGCTTCTCCTCCAGCCCCCAGACCATCTCGTGCGGTGTTCCTCAGGGCTCTGTCGTTGATCCCCTCCTCTTCAATATCTATATGCTCCCTCTTGGTGACATCATCCGCAGACATGGGGTCAACTTCCACATGTCTGCGGATGACACCCAGCTCTACCTCTCTGCCTTCTCCCTTGACTCCAGAACCACTGCTGTCCTGACAGAATGTCTGTCAGACATCAAGTCCTGGATGAAAACTAACTTTCTTCAGTTGAATGTCAACAAGACCGAGGCTCTCCTGATTGGCTTCCATCAGCGCTTCCTCACCTCAAGCGCTGACAGCATCACCATCCATGGTTGCACACTCCACCTTACTAAGCCAGTCCGGATCCTTGGGGTCTTGTTTGACCCTCAACTATCCTTTCTCCCCAACATCTGCGCCATGAACCGCTTCCCCCACCTCCGCAACATCGCCTGGCTCCGACACTGTCTCACAACGCAGGCCGCCAAAACCCTCATACTCGCCTTCATCACATCGAGGCTCGACTGTGAAAACTCATTGTTTGTCGGCCTCCCCAAGTCCTCCCTCCATAGGCTGCAGATCATCCAGAACTCTGCAGCCCACGTTCTCTCCTGCACATCACACAGAGGATACAGTTCAAGATCCTGGTCTTCACCTTCAAAGCCCTCCATGGTCTTGCTCCCCTCTATCTCTCCGACCTCCTAACCACCTACCATCCTGTTCGCTCTGTCCGCTCAGTGGTCTCCGGCCCATTTCACGTCCCCCGCCTTGCTTGCCCCACTACTGACGGGTGGGCCTTCTGCCTCTTTGCCCCACCCTCTGGAACTCCATCCCCCAGTCCCTCCGTCTCACCCCCTCCCTTGCCACCTTCAAGACCCACCTCAAGACCCTCCTCTTCGACCGTGCTTTCGATCTCCCTGCTTCCCCCCTACCCTCCCCCCTTCCCCACCACAAGCCGCAACTCGGGTCTGTAACTCTGTCTGTCCAGTGCCTTGGGACATCCTCCCGACGTGAAAGGCGCTTTACAAAGTAATTTGGTTGTTTTTGTCCTAGAGAAGATAAAGGGTACCAATTATAGGGCATAATGTTATAAAGTATCTTTTTATGAGACGAGTTCATATATAAAGCAGATGCCCTGTGGATCGGGCATTGGCTTCTGGCACAGACCTGCTGGCTTCCCTTGTGCTACAAAATTCCGGTTTGTACGGTTATCACCAACATCATTTCCTGGATGCTGTATGTGCATGCTGTTTCCAGGAAGTGCCACAGACTTCACTTTGTGACTTCAGGCATGCAGGAAGTGATGTTGTTCGCAACCTGATGACCCAGAAGTCAGTCATTATTTATTTGTAATACTAAGGAAGCTGTATTGGATTACTTAGCAGCATTCTGCAAAGAGCAGCCCTATCAACCAGTCAGTGTGTCTCATCTCCATCCTAGCAATATATAACATTTTCTCCCTGCATGAGGATCTGCAACATTTAACACAGAATGTGACTAGAATATTTTATGTCTTTGTTTTTAATTGAGAAACTTGGTGAAGGGCCTAAGCACATAGTTCAAAACATTACCCAATGTTCAAAAGCATTGAGGAGAAAATGATATAAATGAAGAACTTGAGGTTAGGTGAAATCAGGCTCATAATAATAATAATAATAATAATCCTTGCATTTGATATAGCTCAGATTGTAAAAGGCTCTAGATTGTTGCAGGAAAGGAAGAATGAGGGTGAAGAGGAGTTGCATAGTTTTTTGGTCATAAGAAAGAATAAGCAATGAATTTTAATTTCAGTGTGAGGATGTAGGGAGAATGAAGAGAGTGAAGGAAGGTTTCTTTGAAGCTTAGCAGGTACAAGAGCAGAAAGTCCAAAGTAGCCATTACCATGTAGTCTCCAATATAATTATTTGAATAATTAAATCTCTGAACTTATTTGTTCTAAAAATGACCATAAAAGGTCACAAGATTAGCCTTGTTGTTGGTGTCAGTGAGGAGTTAAAAGTCTTGTATCCTATATATTTGAATTGCACAATGAAAGTTTGGGTTGAGCTTGAGTGGTGATAAACTGGCTTATTTGCTTAGAATTTCAATATATAGATAGAGTTGAAGTCCCAATCATATTGATATTCATTGAGCTTTTTGAGGTGCGGATGGGATATTACTGACAGCTGGAATATCTGTGTGTAAATGGAATGGCTGGATGGTTCCAGATTGCCAATTCAAAAGCTCTGCTGTTGTCTATCAAGTGTTCAGTTAAGCACTGGAGTAAAATTTCCGCATGTCAACTATTGTTACTCTTTGGTTTCCCAATTTTATTGACTCAGAATTAATCTGATTCCACCCTGTTTCTATGCTTACACTGATCAATTCCATACCCTCCATTGTCTTTACTCATTGCTTCCTTTCCCCTCGTCATTTTTCCAATGCCCCTCTTCCTTCACCCAGTTTGGCATTGATGACTGAGATACCCCCACACACTCTTTCTCAGTTATTACCTCTAGGCACTCCTTTGCTCAATCCCTCTTCCTTTGACACCATGACAAAGTCTCTCGAGCCTCTATGATTTGCTTTGCCACAGGTCAATCCCTCATTGCATCCCTCCTTGGGCTGTGACTCGCCCTTGTCCATTACTCACCAGTGGATGCCATTCCTTTTTCCATTCATTTTCTTTCCTGATCCTCAGCTTTACACAGCAGTTAAACAACTGATTGGGAAATGTTCAGTGACCCCCCCCCCACCATCCCCCCCCCCCCCCCACACACCCATGTCTGTGATCTAGATCAAACAGTTTGCGTCCAGCTTTTATAATTATTTATGGAAAGATTAATGCCTGGAGCAATTGTGTTAACCTTCACACAGGAGTTTAGAATCCTCCACACATGACAATTTGATCTTAAATCGTGGAAACAAATTTGATCCAACTTCAAAGGCAAAGTGAGGTGCAGTAACACACAAATACTTTACTGGATGTTAATAGCTGGATCGATATTAATATATATAGTTTGCAATGTCACAATACAACTCTAATGGTTCACAATACAATTCTAATCCTACAATATTATCTTACAAGCTATTGCCCAGCCTGAGGATGATTCTCATATCCAGACTTTGGTTTAATGGGAAGTCTGCCCTTTTTGAAAGAATACAGCGGTGTAAAATGTTAGACAAAACCCAGTATAGGAAATTTCTGGATGCCCAATAATCTAAAAGATGGCAAAGAGAGTAACAAAGAGATAGTGTCTGTTCATAAGAAACAAAAATCACTAAGCTAAGTCGTTATTCAGAGCTTTTTTTCCTCCTTTTTATTAATAATCAAGTGAACTCACTTGACAGTGTAAAGATTGCACATGTAGTTTACTTTGTTGAATTGAAATGTATATCATAAATCCAACCCACTTGTTCCAGCCAGAATTTTAATGTGAAGCACACAGGCTGATAGAGATCCAAATTTGTGTCTTAAACTATAATCATTGTCAACATGAAAATTAATTCAGCAATTAACTCATGCCAACTTTCAAAATAGACAGAGAATGTGGATGGTAATAGACTCAATCGATAGAGCAAATGGAGCAGTGAATGTTCAGCTGTTTATAACACTTGGCCTCTTTCGTGACATTCACAAAGGGATTTTAAATAGTAAATCCTGGATGTGTTGTGAGACAGTAATTGTGGAGAGTATGCGTCACTCAGAGATCCTGTGATTCTTCAATTCTTGTTAATTTCAAACATTGATAATTGAAAATCCTCCAAATAACAAACAGAGGTGTGGATAATCATCTACGCCATCCTGTTGGCAGATAGAATGACAGTTTTACAAAGTACCATCAGATTCAAGTGTTAGTCCGATTGATAATGGACATCACAACAATCTACCATTTATCTGAAGCTAAATGTATTGGTAAAATAAATAAGGAACTTTGATCAAACCAATTACAGTGACATCCGAGAAAGGGAAGGGGGGAGAGGAATATCATTATCCATGTTGAAAAAGACTAGGGTTTGGAGGACTTGTTCTGCTGTAGTAGTGCAGTGTACTGAATGGCAGTGAATTTGTGAATGTATGGTACGAGAACAAGCATTTACTTAGCAAGAAGTCACGGAAGAGGGGTGAATGAGAAAAGCAGGAGACCAAGCAGAGCATGAAAAGTTTAAAGGTAATTCAGCTTCTTTCAAAGGACAAAAGTGCCTCAATACTCCTGAGGAGGAACGGAAATTAAGACAGCTCTCGTGCAAAACTTGTTTCTTCACTTAAGGTCTTTTTGATCTTCTTTATCTTCAGGTGACATCCAGATCGGCATGATGGATCGGAAAGGACAACTCGAAGTGGAAGTCATCAGGGCCCGAGGACTTGTAGGAAAACCTGGATCCAAAGCATTACCTGGTAATGACTGCTATTTCTTTTTCCTTTTCCTTCTATCTCTTCTTGTGAACAAGACAAGGGCAGCAGAAAAAAGAGGAAGTCAGTATTGATATGACCCCTTCATGTGGCCAGAGTCCCCCTACCATTTTGTGAGCAAACTCGACCCATCGAAAATCACTGCCAAGAATTGGAGCTGCTTCCCAACTCCCTCATAAAACATTTCTATTCCTTCATATAAAGATATTTCCTAAAATGGCAAGAAATCTAGTTAGTGGTGCTTTGTAATATATCTGACATGAATGTATTATAAAACTGCAAATTTCACCCCGTGGTATGATTCAAAATTATGTTTAAGACCAGTCACTAACTATTCACTGATGTTACAGGTGTGATCCCACTTCCCCCACACTGACTTCAGCACAATCATTGGACCTGAAGGCACTGGTGGCCTACAGTGGAGTTGTTAATGGCAGAGCGCACTGCATTTGAGTGCCAGTTCACAAGATATCAGCTTAACTCAACCAAGAAACAAATCAAGACAGTATCCCAGGAACAAGCCCTTAAATGCCATGCTTCACAGTGCACAAATTCAATGCCAGCTATCACGGGTTTTAGACCCAATAATCCCTGAACTAATCATTAGTTACTGATTGACTTTGACCACAGGTCAACAATGCTGTGAATGGCAATTCAGTGGTGATTTACCACCTCCCGATATATGGAGGAAAATTGGAAACCTCAGAGCAGTCTTGTAGCAGAAGCATTAGAACAGAGCTGCTGTCCCTCATTACCAACATGAACATACGTCACCGATTCTTTGAACCGAAGACACAGTATTATTATTAAACACAGCTTTGCTTACGATACCACATCTTGTGACTCATTCACGTTCTCATTCCTATGCACCCATATAACCTCCAGTCATTGCGACAGCGATGCTTACATGTCAAGAACAATCACAATTCTTTCGAAACATGAGATGCAACTGTCCGCTCACACTGTTTTTCCAACAGTCAACAGTTCTATTTTAGTTTTTGTTCTGTTACCTTAGCACATCTCCAATAATTTAATATAAATTGGGGGCTAATTTGCAGCATTTTTAACAAACTACTGACAATTTACAAGATCTCCATTCTGGTGCAGAGTTTCTACAGATTGGACTTACTTCTGGTTACTTGAAAGAATTCCTATCTGTGATTTGGATTAAGGAATTCTGTTTGGAAGTATTGCAAATTAGACACTGATTGTCTTCCTTACAGAAAAACACTGAGGCCCTTTAGGATGCCTTAATGTTAAATGCTGTTTGTACAATAATAATAATAATCCCTCCAAAACCAAAAACAATAATAAATTGGTCATTTTCAATCTACGACTGTTTGTGGGACATTGCTGTGCGCAATTGGCTGCCGCGTTCGCCCACAAATATACAGTCAATTCACTTTACAGTGTGTTCTGTAAAGCGCTTTGGGACGTCCTCCCGACGTGAAAAGCGCTATATCAAATGCAAGGATTATTATTATTATAATATGTTTCCTTATTACTTCTGTTTCAAACTAAATCTCTAGTTCCATCTAAATGATAACATATTGCTAAATGTGCTCTGGAATTTCCCACATATGATGCACAAATGTTCTCATAAAATGAGTCTAATAAGGTTCACATTAAATACAACTGTTGATTGTAGGTGAATGTTTTAAACTGACAGTTAGCTAGCTAACTAACTAACTAACTAACTAGCTAGCTAGTTAGTTGTGTTATATGTGGTGTATAATACCTGCAGAAATTACATTTAATGTATGTCTGGATAGGAACATATTTTAAGGTAATAAAAGTCCTTGGAGTTGAAATGACGTTAATATATCACTCATGTAATGTAGATTTGTAGATTATAACATTATTTGAACCACTGATGTGAAACATGTTATCATTTACAGAAATATTCTGTAGTATTTTGTGCAATGCATTCTTGCTCATAATTCAGTGCAAACATTGGGGTAAATTTAACATTGTAATGATGCTGTTTCCTCATTTAGCGCCTTATGTCAAGGTTTATCTATTGGAAAATGGTGTCTGCATAGCCAAGAAGAAAACAAAAGTAGCACGAAAAACATTGGAACCTCTATACCAGCAACCGCTGGGATTTGAAGATAGTCCCCAGGGAAAGGTTCTTCAGGTAACCATTTCTTACATTATCTCTTTGTTTACACTATCATATTGGACGTTTAACAAATGCATCTTGGTGGGTCCTAGTCAATGAATCAGTATTGTATCTTTGTGTATTAGAAAGGTCAATTGGGGTTACTCTCCAATTCAGTAAATGTTTCCAACAAGGGCAAATATTTCTCAATAGTGTCCTCCAGTTGAGCTTCATGTAGTTCACTCGAGTGGCTCGGATTCACTTGTGTGACTTCACAATCAGTATTAACAGGTTATTATCCCAAGGAAAACATCACTGCCAAGTTCAATGCTGTCCTATCCCAACCTCCACACAGGAACCTTACCCGGAAACGATAAGAGTGGGAATCATGCCTGATACCCCTCTCTGCAATTATCGCAGTGCCCTGTGTGAAATCCGATAACTCAATTTAGACCAAAATTTGAACTTAAAACTTTTGGTCGATAAAGTTTAAAGAGACTCTGAACATTGGAATTACCCATCTGGCCATTGGGGAGTTACATATCTGTTATTGGTGAGAAATTGTGCTGGGTTGAAACATTAAATAAATAGCTGTTAAGAGTAGCGAAACCCGATATAACTAGCATTGTGGTCCATGTGATATTTACCACACTGACTAGACTGTAGCAGACTCACCTCATGTCACTCTCAATGGTGAGGGTGGACAAGCTGGGTCCTCAGGGATGTGTTGAGATCAGATCAGTGTCTCCCTTCAAGAGGAAAAGAAAAGCAAGTGGTCGAGTTTACCTGAATCACTCTCATTCTCACAGAGACCTGTGAACCGCGTTTAGTCAGAGAGCACTAATGGGAATGATAGAAAATAAGAAGTATTTACAATGACAAGAACAACTTGCATTCATTTTGTGCCACACAGGGTAGTGTTTCAGAGCACTGGAGCATTATATTCCGAAGTTACTAATATATTTCTTCTCTCCGGCAGATAATAGTATGGGGGGATTATGGACGAATGGACCACAAATCCTTCATGGGAGTTGCACAGATTCTTTTAGAGGACCTTGACCTGTCCAACATGGTGATTGGCTGGTACAAACTCTTTCCCACTTCCTCCCTGGTGGATCCGACCTTAGCCCCGCTGACAAGACGAGCTTCCCAATCATCGCTCGAGAGCTCAACCGGACCTTCTTACGCTCGCTCATAGCACTTGTGAAAGGCGTTGCTACAGCAACCAGTGTTCAGCTAGCAGGTCGCAAGCCCTGGTTACACTGCATGCTTGATGTTCTGTCTTCTGAGCCTGTTCCTAGGGAGTAAAAGCGGTCCTGTGTACTCAGAGGAAAATTGCGCACGGTGTGCCCTGTGAAGGTCCTTAGGGAAGGAGTGCAGTTTTGCAGAACTTAAATGGTTGTTGGAATTAAATGACAATAGTTTTTTTTTTGTCCAATCAGAAGCCATGGATTTAAAAAATAAATAAGAACTGATCAATTCATGCAGCAGACACCCTTATTTTTCAATGAACCATCCTTTCTTTTGTTGTTTATTCCTACACTGGGTCGCCTGCTTCTCCTATCCCACCTACTTGCTTCCTATAAGCAACAACCCCTTGAAGTCAGTGACGGCCGCTTGTGAGTGCTGTGAGGAAGATGGCTCAAATGATAAACGTATTGGCTGCACGTCACCAAACAAGGGGAGACGAAATGGAGTCAGCTGAGCAAAATGATGAGGGAACAGCAGGTTTACCTTTTTTAAAAAAAATACAAGACATGATATTGACACTCAAAGCGGACTTGAAAGCTCCAGGAGGAAAGCCACAGTGAATCCCAAAGGGAGAGGGCTATGTGATCTGATATCATTGTTTCTCTGCTGATATACTGTATGACGTTTAAAAAAAAATTGCATGGACATAAATTTAGCTGAATTTAAAAAAATCTTTAAATTATTTTCTTGAGGCTGCAACTTGCAAAAAAAAACTGACACAGCCATTTTCAACAATTTATATTATTTTTTAAAAAAGACAATGTTTCACCAGTGCATGGTTTTATGGGGGAGTGAATGCAACAGTGTGATACAAAGGCATGGTATTTCCCATATTCAGAGTAGCTCATTTGTGGGTCTGGTTTTTTGCAGGCAAAGAAAATGAGGAAGGGTCATTCTGAACTAAACAGTAATTTTTATCTGAGATTTTAAAAGAGTCAAATGACAAAACTTAGTTAAATTAATTACTTATTTAAAGATACAGGCCTTCAAAGTCTGTCATTGTTCATAGACAACCCCATGCTGCTCTGTCCCTTTCCTTTGGGTCGTTTAATGTACTCTAATGTACATCTTCTTTGTTTCTGGCCACTCAAGGTCCATATTTGGGCTGAGGGCTGCAGAGCATTGATGTATTTTCATTCTTTGGGTAAAAATATATCATTGAGAAAGAGCAAAAAAAGAAAAAAAAGAAATTTATATGATTTGCAAGCATGTTGAGACGTTTTTTGCAACATGGCTTGGGCACACACTACAGTAATTCAGCATGCATTTGACAAAAACAATTGAAAATTTTGCAGCATCCTTTTTATTGTACAGTGCATGATTACATAGAAATGATTTACATTTTCCCCCATCTTAAATTGAATTCTACAGCAAATAATTGGAATCTTGTCACCATTGTACAGAACAAAAGTGAAAACTCTCTTCAGTAATAAGATAATTTCCAGCAGCATTGACCGTGTATATACTGTAGGGAAGCGACAATGTTTTTTCTGACGTTATGTAGCAATGATATGGAATAAGAAACATTATATGATAAATCCAGTAATGTGGTATTTTGTTGGAAAATTAATTAACGATTGGAAATTAGTAGTTTTCTCTAGCCGAAGAAGTTGAAAGCATCCAATCAGAAGAATGTTTTTGCATGCTTAAGCTCCCAAAGTACTTCAGACAAGGTATCTGTGGGTCAAGCTGTTTTGCTGTAAAGTTCAATTTTCACACATAGTTTTAATGAGGACTTTCAACATGAGCTGATGTACACGTGGTCAATACAGCTGAAAATTGGCCAAAAAAGTCATTTGTTATTCGATCGTAGATTTTGGTTCCCAACAAGATTTCACACATTATCAATTTAATGCCATGCTACGACACACTCTTCCCTCCCGGCTCCCACATTGAAAAGGATTTATTTGTTTAAAAAAAAAAGCTGTGCTCCGTAGGCTGTGAGATGCATTATCCGTGTTTGTTAATGGATGGTGCTGAAGCTATGAAGTGAGGAAGTTCTCACACTGCTGAATGTAGCAGCTTTAGCTAAGTTCAGGAGCACAGGCTGAATTACAGATCTCAGTGCACATCATCAATGTGGTTGTACGTAGCCTCACGAGGAATACCTCACCCACTGAATTTCCAATCTCTGAGGTGAATGGAAAGGAGCATGCAAACTATGAGTATCTTTGAAAGATAACCACATTTTAAAAAAAGATAAATGCCTTTTGATTTCTATTTGTAGTGCAATTTTATTTGAACCAAGACTGATTCTTGGTTCTCTTTTTCATGACCAAAGCATTGTAGATAATGTTTTGAATATTGACCATCCACACAAAAAAAACAAGAAAAGGGATTCCTATAATGTCACTGAAAATACACAAACCTTTGGGACCAGTAAAAGGAGCAGTGGCTGCCAACATCAGTTTTCCCCATTGCTGTGAGCAACTGCAAGTCTGAACGAATGATAATAATCAAAGATTTCTTTGTCTCTCCCTTTTTTAAACAAAAAATTCCAAAAATTCAAATGTTGTTTTCTTTGTGCTGCCTCATTATCTTGACAATGCAGTTCAGTTAACCTGCATCCAATTGTTTTGTGCATAATATACCTGTTTAAAGTGATCTTTCAAAAAAATCTTAGAATGATGTTAAAGTATGAAAGATTTGTACATATTTAATCATTATGCAGTATTTATTTGAAACTTGATATAATTTTTTAATAAATTTTCACATTATAATGTCCACAACTCTGTTTATGATTTAGTCATGTAAATGGCACTAATCCAGCAAAACACAGCTGTCTTGTACATAGATTTTAAGTAAATGGGACACTGCTGTTAGGATACTGGGCAACTGGCCTGTATGTGGCGAAAACAATGTAAAACAAACTCATTTCTGGTGATGGTATTTAACATGGCTCCACTATTAATAAAAACATTTTCTTTACAGCGATGGCTGTAAGTCTTGTTCTTTTGTCTGTTTGTCCCCCATTTTAAATATTTATAATTTTAATATTTGTGTACAGTGTGCTATAAATAAAGAGCAATTTGCTGATGGGCAAATAGCATTTTTTTCTCCCTTTCTCAGTGTCTGACATTTTGTGGAAGAATAGACCCTGTCCATGCTGAGAATTGTCAGCGTTTCTTTCTCCTCCTTCACCCTAAAAGATATTAAAGTGTAAACTGCTTCTTAAATTAATCTAGTACCTTCATCTCATACACATTTCCCAATATCTGGTCTAACTGTTGGTTACCCTCTTTATGAAGAAAAACATCCTTGTGCATGTCCTGAACTTGCCCTTCACAACTTTGAATCTTCTTAATGTTTTGAGTTTACTTCCTTTATCCTGGATACAGGACCATATAATGTAACCAAAAATATATCAATGCAGAAATTCTTCTATTTCTATTGTTTGATGAGAATTATAACAGGATTCTTTACACTCTTTGACCCATCTGATCTCATCCTTATTATTATTAATATTATTATTATTGTCCTTCCAGAACATCCACCCTGCCATTGTCCAGTTACAGCATCAACTATTGCAGGACTGTTCCAGTTGTTTATTATCCTCTGGATAAATAAATACTTCCTGATATCTGTCCTGAAATTCCTCTTTGCAACTTTAAACAGTGTCTCCTTGTTATGTCGTCTCAGTACATCTGGAATATTGTTTAATATTGTTAATTTGGGTTTACTTTTCAACTCCATTTAAAAAATTACCTCTATAATGTTCCATCTCAGACATGTTTGTTCAAGACTGATGCATCCTAGCTTGGCTAATCGTTGCTCATAAGTAAGTCTTCTAAAACTACATCTCCCCTCCTTATTATTCTCCTCAGCACCATGTCTATGGCATGGGCCTTATGTCATGGAGGGACTGTATGCAATATTATAGGTGAAGCCTCACCAGAGCATTGTACAACTTGATTATGGTGTCTGGGAATTTGATTTCAAATGATTAGGCAATATAGCCCAACATCCTGTTTACTTTGTTTCTTGCTCCAGTGATCTGAGATGTGAACATGAAGGCTGCTATGTAAATGCAAGTTGCTATTTCTGCTTCACACTGTTTTACATGGTGAGCAATGAGTCAACTCATACCTCTAGATCTCTTATCAGCTTCTTTCTTGGCAAATTCAACTCTTTCCTTAGAGTACATGTGTTTTCTATTCTTAATTCCCACATGCATTATATTTCCACATGTGTCAGACACCCAACTGAACCAAAAAGAGGATTATCTTGCATCTTTCTTATTGAATGAAGTCATCCAATTATAAAATGCCCCACCCATTTTTTAAAATTATATTTTACCATCTAACTTCGGATCTAATTTTGGATGTAAACATGCAAGTAAGGTGTGTTGTTTATATATATATATTATATGTATATTGACTCCATAGATAGCATGTAATGTTTATGAGACATTACTCTGTGTAAAAGGCATTATACACCAACAATTTGTTTAAGAAGTATTTTCTTTCGAAAGAGGTATATACTCTTTAATTAGACTGTTTACACAGGAGGTCATTGATAATTGTTCTACGTGTGGGTTGTGAATTGCATATAATATTGTGCTTTTTTACACCACGTGAAGTTGTAATACATTCAAATGTTCAAAAAGTTCCATTGTCATTTCACCCTTGAGCGCTCCTGACATCATACAAACACTGGCATGGTCCACTGTGCTTTCAGTGACTCCTTAAGAAATTTTGACAACAGACATTGTCTTGAGATGTGCCTTGAAGGAGACAAGGGAGGAGCGAGGCGATGGGACTGTGGGCTGGAGTTCCAAAGGATGCGGTCAGGGAGGCTGAAGGCTTGACCACCGATGGTGGGCCAAGCAGGCGGGAGATCCGGAGCAGGCCAGAGCCTGCTGAGCGGAGGGAGCGGACAGGTTGATATGGCGTTAGCAGGTCACAGAAGTAGGAAGGAGTAAGGCTGTGGAGCGCTTTGAATACGAGGACGAGTATTTTGAACTCTATCAAAGGGGATGGGCAGCCAGTGGAGCTGGGTGAGGGTGGGGGTGAAAAGGGTCAGAGAGCCTGATGCGGGAAAGGACACAAGCTGCAGAGTTCTGGATGATCTGCAGATTGTGGAGGGAAGAGTTGCAAAGGCCGACAAGTAGGGAGTTGGCGTAGTCAACCTTAGATGTAATAAATACATGGATGAGGGTTTCAGTGGACTAAGGGGAGAGGCAATGGGGGAGCCGGGCAATGTTGTGGGGGTGGGGGCAGGCGGAACGGGTCATAGCATGTGGGATAAAAAGGATAGTTTAAAATCAAAAATGTCAAGGTTCCAGACTGGCTCAGTGATGTGGAGTGTGCATCCATGGATAGTGATGCTGCAGTGCCTGAGGTGTAGAGGCACTGACAGGAGCTAATCAGGAGGGCCTCGGTCTTGTTGACATTCAACTGGAGAAAGGTAGCTCTCATCCAGGGAGTTGACCCCATGTCTACAGATGATGTCACCAAGAGGGAGCATGTACATGTTCAAGAGGAGAGGACCAAGGACAGAGGCCTGGGGAATGCCGCATGACCCAGTGCGGGGGCTGGAAGAGAAACCATTTGTGGAGACCAAGTGGAGACGGTCTGAGAGGTAGGATCAGAACCATGAAGGTTGAAAGGATAGAGTGATCGACAGTGTCAAAATGTAACATCTTCTGAGAATGAAACACTGCTAGATAACTCA